ATGCCAGGGTGGGTGGTAGCCAGGGGTTGGGCCAGTAGCCAGGGGTAGGATGGTAGACATGGGTGGGCTGGTGGCCAAGGGTGGGATGGTAACCAGGGGTGGGCTGGCAGCCAGGGGTAGGCTGGTAGCCAGGGGTGGGCTGGTAGCCAGGGGTGGGCTGGTGGCCTGGCATGGGCTGGTAGCTAGGAGTGGGCTAGTAACAAGGGGTGGGATGGTAGCCAGGGGTCGACTGACAGTAAGGGGTCAGCTGATAGCCCAGGGTGAGCTGATAGCCATGGGTGGGCTGGTAGCCATGGGTGGACTGGTAGTTATGGAAGGATGGTAGCCAGGGATTGGCTGGTAGCCTGGGATGGGCTGGTAGCCAGGGGTGAGTTGGTAGCCAGGGGTAAGCTGATGGTCAGGGGTGAGCTGGTAGCCAGGGGTGGGCTGGTACACTACACAAATAAACCCGTACATAGAGGAGAGGAGTGGGTTGATATCTAGGGGTGGACTGATAGTCAGGGGTGGCTGATAGGCATTGGTGGTCTGGTGGATAGGCTTCAAACCCCATTAATTGACCTTGTGTGTGTCTTATTTACATACTGTCGGTATACTCTTCAAAAGTACCGTCCCCAGTCCAGTTCTCACCGTCTTGCTCTTCTAAGACTGATGAGATTGGATTAGATTTAGAGAGACATAGTTTTAGGTGTTTCTCGTTTATCCTACGGCAGTAAGTAGCATTAAGGCAGCAACTCACACGTCGTAGGTAAGAGAAGTATGAACATCAGCGTTGCTGTATTTACAACTAAGCAGTTGTTAAGGAGCACTGTGAAGGAGCAGTGTGATGGAGCACTGTAATGTTCACTGTGAAGTAGCACTGTAAAGGAGTACTATAAAGGAGCACTGTGAAGGAGCACTGTCAGGACTCGAAAAGAAGGTAAACATCTTATTCTAGACCCATTTTGAAAGTTTTTTATGAACTATCTATGCCATTACCTTGACGCCAAACTGGGTTTTACAGTCACTTCCAGTCACTCGGAAAAATATCTTTTTCCTAACCCAGGGACGAACAAGATCAACACATTGAGGAAAAATTTCTCAATTAACAGCAATAAAAGGCGAATTATCTCTAAACTTATTGTCTTATATGATATGTAAATTAATTTTTTTCTTCTCAGAGTAACAGAATTAAATTTGATTGGCATCACGTAATAAAATTAACGTCCGTGTTGCTTCTATCGTTAGCTATGGATGTCACTACACTGAGATGATTGTTTTAATGAATTAGTTAAATAAAAACATAATAACATCATAATTTCTCGATCTTCAGCAAAATCGCGAAAATTTCCCAAAAATTTTGTTGTCAATTTAATGATTGTACACTGTACCAGTAGTGCAGTTGACAAGTAGGTACATCAAAAGACATATTGAAAACAAATATTTATTTGTATGTATTCAACTCATCCAATTATACAGAGATATACAGAGATAATTTAAAGTGGAGGTTCATCTCTGAAGAGAAAGCTGTTGGAAACAAGGCTCAAACTGACTTGTAGAGCTGTTGTATTTTCCTTGATTTGCTAGATTGTTTCTTCCATTTGTAAAGTAAATTTGCCCTGTGCTCCAGAGGTCGTAGGACTTGGTAATGGTTGTGGCTTAATCGTGGCTTATTCTGAACTGAATTTGCGCTGGAAAGAGCATCATCATCATCATCATCATCATTATCATATCATCATCATCTGCAGCAGCAGTGCTGATCTTATTACCCTCTGCAGCACCAGGACTGCTGGTGAACAGTTCGTTGTTGATCAGCACCAAGTCGGGGAAGCTCTCTGACGTGAAACATTCTCGACTGAATGTCTGCTCTAACAAACTCAGTAAAGGTTCTGAGTTGGCATAGTTTCTTGAACCGCAATACCATCCTTTAAAGCCACCGACTTCATTACCACCTTGACTACCAAGGTCTCCTCTGGGTTTATCCGTGATGTCCATGATGTCCATGATGTCCATGGTGTCCACCACCTGGAAATCTGCCCCCACCAATGATGCCTCCACTGCCAGGAAATCTACCCCCGATGCTTCCACCTCCTGGAAGTCTTCCAATAAAGCCACCAATACCCGGGTATCTGCTGCCAGGGAAGCCATGTTGAGGGTTGGCTTCTGATAGTTGCAGGAAGCAAACAATTACTACAAGAGCGGCAGGCGATTGTGATGCGACTCATACTGCAATGTAAGAGAAACAAATTGATGACACTGATGATGATACTGATGATGACAATGACGATGATACTGATGATGATACTGATGATGACACTGATGATACTGACGTACTGACCATCCCATTGGCCTCACAACCCCGGGATCACAGCTAAGCATCATCTAATTAAACTGAAGTAAGGTTGGAAAAAGTCAATCTTTACATTTATAACATAATACTGAAAAAAAAAAAACACATACACATTACATTTAACTTGTAGTAAGGTTGATGAAATATTTACTAAATTATCTGTTTGCTTGATGAGTTTTGTGTATTGCTTTTCTTTATTAATGGTAAAGCCATTTGCATTATAAAGGAAAAAGGACATTTTATGTCCCTTTATAGGGCAATATATGTTCTTGTTTGATTTAATTATTATTATTATTATTATTATTATTATTATTATTATTATTATTATTATTATTATTATTATTTCTGAGGAAGCATCTGTTCTCGTAGGATTTATACAGTTTCTGTTTAAAGTGTAATCATGTTTGACCTGAGTTAAGGTCAGGTGTCTCACTACCGTCACTGGAATGATACACAAACATCTCGCACAAAGGAGAGATGAACTTATGACGACTATTTTCTCTGACATAAGCTTCTCTCTTTTATGTGCGGGTTGTGTAAAGGTCGCTCCGTTACCTCGGATCAATAATTTTTAAACCATTATTCAGATATATTCTAGAGATGTTTATTGTTTATTGATAAATCAGTGGTGATTGTTACCACTTGTCTTATGTAGTGGAACTATAACTTATACATTGCAAACTGGAATGACGCACTGGAATGAATAAGAAAATAAACGCTAACGTTTGATTAAATGTTTACAATTGTTCACTCACTCAATGTTCACAAAGTAGCGAACAAATGAAAGCAACAAGTTGGGAAATATAAGTGTACTCAAATTGTTGCATTCATTTTCCTATGAATTACATTACGTCAATATCTGAACGTGCTAAGTTACCTTCAGGCTGAATGTTAGTTACTCTATTTTAGTTAAAAATCCAATAAACAAAATTTTAAATACGGCAAGGTAAAGTCTGGCAGCGGAGTAGACGCTGCTGTGGTTAAGATAGCTGGAAATAGGACGCTAGTTATCATGTTAAGGAACATCAGAGATGTGGTGTGGCTCCATACCTGACGATGTTGGCACTGATAGCTGGAGAGAATGACCCAAGACTGAGGCAGCAACACCTCCTGCTGTGTATATATAGGTTAGTGACCCTGGAACCACCCAGTGTTAAACCAGTTGCCAGACACTGCTACACTCAAAACTCACATTAATTTATTTAGTTCCAAATTCTTTGTGTGATGACTTTGCTGAAAGTTCATGAAATAAGTTCATAAATATACATCTCGGTAGAAGAGACATATATCTACATTATACAATCAAATAATACTCGGCAAAGGGGAAAGGAATAACCTCAAGACCTTTCGTAAACACATTATCAAGTAAAATACGTATGTAGCCAAACACTTTCCTACCTGCCTTATTTAGAACTGTTCACAGGTGCCACGGGAGGAAAGTTGTGATGTGCCCAGCTCACCTTCTACCTCACAAATTTGCTCAGAAATGAATGACTGAAAACGTGCAGTGTATGACAAAGCGCAGGCAGTTCAGTGACTGACTATGAGAAACTGGTAAAAATGTGAGGAAATCTCTTGTTATTTGATATATCAATCACCTAGAGAATACAATTAACAAATCAAGAGAGATAAGAGAGTGAATAAAGATGGTGGTAATCAAGTTCCTTGTGTTTATACCTGTAAAACATCACTTTACGCTCACAGCTCAGTTCAAGGCAAGAGAGACATTAGATCTGAAAAATATAGAGAACTCGCATACTTCCTGCGCAGAGAGTGTACAAGATATACCTTAAAATACCGTGATGTACTCTCTGGAGCGAAGTAGAGAACGTACTCTGATACAATACACTCGAAAAATACTGAAGGGCCAAATCTAAACACTAATCTAACAACTTGCAGGAGTAAGAGATAAAGGAGGAAATACAAAATAAATTCACTGAAGAGGAGAGTTGCCACAGGAACAATAAGACAAGACTCTATCAATATCTCTTGACCAGGGCTGTTTAACCTGTTACCAGCCGATATCAAAAACATTGCCGGAAAAAGTGTAGACATTTTCAAGAGGAAACATGATCACAACCTCCGCCAAGTGCTCAGACTAGGCCGTGATGGCTGCGTGAGCCAGAGGTCCATGGATAATAACAGACTGGTTGAACAACCCCTTAAGAAGGAAGCGTTGACAATGGTCGGCTTGACAGAGTAGAAAATCTTTTACAAGTGTGTGTGTGCGTGTGTGTGTGTATATGAAAATATATATATATATATATATATATATATATATATATATATTATATATATATATATATATATATATATATATATATATATATATATATATGTGTGTGTTGTGTGCGTGTACTCGCCTATTTGTCGTTGCAGGGGTCGATTCATAGCTCCTGCCCCCACCTCTTCACTGATCGCTACTAGATCCTCTCTCCCTGCTCCATGAGCTTTTTCAAACCTCGTCTTAAAACTAGGGATGGTTCCTGCCTCCACTTCGCCACTTTAAAGACTATTTCACTTCCTGACAAATCTGTGATCAAAGAAATGCTTCCTAACATCCCTTTGACTCATCTGAGTCTTCAACCTCCTATTGTGACCCCTTGTTTCTGAGTCCCATCTCTTTAACATCCTGACTCTATCCTCCTTGTAAATTTCTCGAAGTATTTTGTATGTCGTTATCGTGTGTGTGTGTGTGTGTGTATGTATGTGTGTGTGTGTGTGTGTGTGTGTGTGTGTGTGTGTGTGTGTGTGTGTGTGTGTGTGTGTGTGTGTGTGTGTGTGTGTGTGTGTGTGTGTGTGTGTTAGTGACCTCCCCAGGTAGAGGGTGAGTAACCTAGGTAAGTCAAAAGATACCTGGTGTAACACGTATGATCACTTAAAATTTCCCTTTCACTATTTTCTTTTTGCTTTGTATTATTGAGAGTTTGATATAAAACTAAAACAATGTTTTGCCTAGATGTTTATGAACGTATTCCATTAACTTTTAGCAAGTCATCGTCTAAGGTGTTGAAACCAAATTAATTGAGAGTTTTGAGTGTAGTAGTGTCTGGCAACTGGTTTAGGACTGGGTGGTGTCCAGGGTCACTAACCTATATATACTCAGCAGATGGTGTTGCTGCCTCAGTCTTGGGTCATCCTCTCCAGCCATCAGTGCCAACATCGTCAGGTACGCAGCCACGCAAACTTTCCCTTTTATGTTCCTCAACAAGGATAAACAGCGTGCTGTTTCCAACTGTCTTACCCATTTCAATGTCTAACCCGCTGCCAGACGTTACTTTCCTGTAGAGAAATTTCCTTTTATTGATTTTGAAGTATTCGTATATAAGCTTATTTACATTTTGTTAAAGTAACATACATAAAATAAATAATATTCAAACTGTAGGTGGAATAACACTTACCGATACTAACGTCCTGTAATTCGGAAGGAAATGAAGATTGTAACTGATTACTTATTATGGAAAAATGAGAAGTTTAAGGTAATCAGTCCCTCAGTTTGGATGTTATGTATTTCTCTATCTTCTGCTTATATTTGTTCACTTCTTGGTGAACACAGAGCTAATGAACAATTGAAAGCATTTAACCAGACTTCAACGTTCATTTTCTTACGCATTGCAGTGCGTCAGTTTCTGCACGATCTAAACCACTTTCGTATAAGTTATAGTTCCCTTACATCAGAAAATTGGTAATAATCACTTCCGAATTATCAACAGACAAATCAACATCTCTAGAAGGTATCTGAATAATGGTGTAAAAATTCTTGATCCAAGGAAACGGAACGACCTTTACACAAATAACTCATAAAGCAAACAGATATTTCAATGAACATAGATAGTTTCAGGTTAATTTTAAAGATAACTTCAAGATGAATTTGATTGTATTTGTTGTAGTATATTACCAATAACAATGAGACTACAATAAACATTATTATTTTAGGCCTAAACTAGTGATCAATGGTTATTATTTAACTAATGATAACTACAGCCGAATACAGTTATTTATGTATATTGAACTTCTCATATTTAATTAAGCATATAAGTGTGTAATTAGTAAATAATAATTTTATTGTTAAGTCGTAATTTATTTATGATAAATACTAAACTAGTTGATGAGAGTCAACATTAGAGGCTCTATCCTCCGTCCTCTAATAACAACTACGTCTCTCAAAAGTCAGACAAAAAGAAAAGATAAATTTTTCACTTAAATAATATATAACAAATGTTCAGTAAATATCTCATCAAACTTAATATAGGTTAAATCTAATATATGAGATTCTTGTTCATTATTATGTTAAAAATGTAAAGACTGACTTTTTCCAACCTTACTTCAGTTTAATTAGATGATGCTTAGCTGTGACCCCGGGGTTGTGAGGTCAACCGGATGGTCAGTATATCACTATCATCACCAGTGTCGTCATCAGTATCATCGTCAGTATCATCATCAGTGTCATCATCAGTATCATCGTCAGTATCATCGTCATTGTCATCATCAGTATCATCATCAGTGTCATCAATTTGTTTCTCTTACATTGCAGTATGAGTCGCATCACAATCGCTGCCGCTCTTGTAGTAATTGTTTGCTTCCTGCAACTATCAGAAGCCAACCCTAAACATGGTTTCCCCTGGCAGCAATCCCCGGGGTAGGGGTTGGCTTTTGGAAGATTTCCGGGAGTTGGGGGCATGGGGGTAGATTTCGGCAGGGAGGCATCATTGGGGGGGCAATTTCCAGGGGGGAACCGGACATCAGGGTATCAGGACATCGGGGATAAACCCAAAGGAATTTGGTAGTAAAGGGGGAAAAAAAAGTCTGTGGCAAAAAAGGAGGGATTGCACTTCAAAAACTATGCCAACTCATGACCTTTATGGTTTGGCAGAACGACTTCGTCGAGGATTCTTCACATCGGAGAATTTCCCCTGACTTGATCCTGCTCGAAACCCAAACTGTTCCCCCAGAAACCCTGGTGCTGTAGCAGGTAACAAGGCAGCACTGCTGCTGGTGTTTTTCCCCAGCAAAATTCGCCAATGACCAAGAAGGGCCACGACCCCCCCCCCAACTTAGTACAAAAGGGGCGTTTGACAAATTTTTTTTTTTAATAGACATAACAAAACAACATTTTGAAAGAAAAAAATGAAAACACCCCCAAAGGGGGTCACGAGAGTTTGAAGCTTAAGTTTAAACTTTTTTTTTGTTTCATGAGTTTACATCAGGTTTTGCTTTTTTTGGTGATATACTGAATTTACAACAATAAATATTTATTTTCAATATATATTTTTTAATTACCTTGTGGGGCCGTGCGACAGCAGTGCAAATTTCAATTATCAAACCCTTTCAGAAATTTGATCTCATTTTGCCCATTTTTCAAAGGTTAAGCATTAATAAATTAAAACTTTTAACCCAAATTTTGAGAAAAAGTTTGAGGACTTTTTAAAGATTCAAAAAAACGAGAAAATGTGATACGAATTAAATTTATTTAAAAAATAAACCCGTTAGATTTAAAGACGTAGGTAACCATGCCAACAGGGAAAACATTTATTGTGTATATCAGTAAACTTTAATATTTTTTTCACTTCGAGAGAGTTCACTGATTATTTTCTTTTTTATGAGACAAGAATGCAAAGAGATTTTCCTTTGTTTTTTGTTGACATGTTGGAATGTGTGTGGTTTTTGTACTCACCTAATTGTGGGGTTTCGGGGTCGAGACTCAGCTCCTGGCGTGTGTGTGTGTGTGTGGTGTGTGTCTTAGTATTTATGATGTATTTTTTTTTTTTTGGTCTTCAAAACAAAATATTAACATAAACGTAATTTTATCGTAATTACTGATTATTTTTTTTGTCTAATACATTTGATACATTTTCCTGATTTTCCTGGTTTTTCTATGTTTTTTTTCGCTGACAGACACAACCCCCTTTAAGGGGCATATTTACCATAGTTACGACCTAAAGGTTTCTAAGGTAAAATGATAATATTATTAACTGCTTTGATAAGATGTGAAAGAGAGAACGTATATATATATATATATATATATATATATATATATATATATATATATATTATATATATATATATATATATAATATATATATATATATATATATATTATATATATATTTTTTTTTTTTATTTTTTTTATTATCACACCGGCCGATTCCCACCAAGGCAGGGTGGCCCGAAAAAGAAAAACTTTCACCATCATTCACTCCATCACTGTCTTGCCAGAAGGGTGCTTTACACTACAGTTTTTAAACTGCAACATTAACACCCCTCCTTCAGAGTGCAGGCACTGTACTTCCCATCTCCAGGACTCAAGTCCGGCCTGCCGGTTTCCCTGAATCCTTCATAAATGTTACTTTGCTCACACTCCAACAGCACGTCAAGTATTAAAAACCATTTGTCTCCATTCACTCCTATCAAACACGCTCACGCATGCCTGCTGGAAGTCCAAGCCCCTCGCACACAAAACCTCCTTTACCCCCTCCCTCCAACCCTTCCTAGGCCGACCCCTACCCCGCCTTCCTTCCACATACAGACTGATACACTCTTGAAGTCATTCTGTTTCGCTCCATTCTCTCTACATGTCCGAACCACCTCAACAACCCTTCCTCAGCCCTCTGGACAACAGTTTTGGTAATCCGCACCTCCTCCTAACTTCCAAACTACGAATTCTCTGCATTATATTCACACCACACATTGCCCTCAGACATGACACTCCACTGCCTCCAGCCTTCTCCTCGCTGCAACATTCATCACCCACGCTTCACACCATATAAGAGCGTTGGTAAAACTATACTCTCATACATTCCCCTCTTTGCCTCCAAGGACAAAGTTTCTTTGTCTCCACAGACTCCTAAGTGCACCACTCACTCTTTTTCCCTCATCAATTCTATGATTCACCTCATCTTTCATAGACCCATCCGCTGACACGTCCACTCCCAATATCTGAATACGTTCACCTCCTCCATACTCTCTCCCTCCAATCTGATATTCAATCTTCATCACCTAATCTTTTTGTTATCCTCATAACCTTACTCTTTCCTGTATTCACCTTTAATTTTCATTTTTGCACACCCTACCAAATTCATCCACCAATCTCGGCAACTTCTCTTCAGAATCTCCCAAGAGACAGTGTCATCAGCAAAGAGCAGCTGTGACAACTCCCACTTTGTGTGTGATTCTTTATCTTTTAACTCCCCCGCCTCTTGCCAAGACCCTCGCATTTACTTCTCTTACAACCCCATCTATAAATATATTAAACAACCACGGTGACATCACACATCCTTGTCTAAGGCCTACTTTTTACTGGGAAAAAATTTCCCTCTTTCCTACATATCTAACTTGAGCCTCACTATCCTCGTAAAAACTCTTCACTGCTTTCAGTAACCTACCTCCTACACCATACACTTGCAACATATATATATATATATATATATATATAATATATAATATATATATAATATATATATATATATATTATATATATGTCGGCCCCGAATATGTAAAATGGTCAGTTAGCAAGAACTCTTTTAAAAATTAATCCTTTCTAAAATTTTCTCTTATACGTTTAAAGTATATTTTTTTCTTTAAATGTTAATGTAAAAATTTTTAATTTTGCTCCAAAAGAATCTTAGAAAACTTCCCTAACCTTATTATAACAAGAACAATTTATTTTAGCCTAACCCAACTAAACATTTTTAGATTTCTTTACAATAATTTAATACTAAACAAACACAGTAAAAATATATTTTTTTCGTTAGGTTCAGAATGATTTTGGCGAAATTATTGCATACACAAATTTTCGCTGTCCTATATGGCAAGATGAGCGTTGCTATTTAAGCCAAGATGGCTAGTTCTGCCTATTCGGCACGACATATATATATATATATATATATATAATATATATATAATATATATATATATATAATATATATATATATATATATATATATAATATATATTTTATATATATATATATATATATATATATTAAAATCGTGGGAGAGTCAGAGGGGAAAAATAACAGTTTGGTCCACCACAAATGCAACTCTGGTTATTTATTGTTATGCATCTCATCTTCGGTGGTGAGAAATAGTGTAAATCACCGATACGATCTATGAAGACTCAAATACAGTACACTGTCACAATTTATTTACAACGTTTCCCTCACACCGTGGG